TGCGAGTACAACTTTGTCGTCAGGAGCTGGGATGACGCTGGGGTCTACTACTGTGCTGTCAATGCATGTGGACAAATACTGCTTGGAAATGGGACAACAATCATTCATGGTAAGACACTTGCAGTGCATTTTTAAAGTTTTTACTTTCACTTTAATGTACAAACATTGCCATACATTAGTTCTAAGTTAGAAAACCTTCACTGAAACAGAAAGTCCAAATTTTTAAAAACTATTTTGCCACCTGATTATTTGTATTTACCCTAACATATATAAATGGGAGGGTGAAAAACAGATCAGTTCAGTTTTTTAAATGTATTTATTTTTAACTGAGTCCATGTGAAGTACTTATGGTGTCCACAGAAAGTCACATCTAATTAAACGCTTTAAAAATAAAAAAAACCCACAAACTGCCCACTCCAGTCAAGTGACAGATCATCTTCTCCATGTAAGTGTTTGTCAAGAAAATGTGGTAGCTTTGAAGAGATCAGAGATGAGATAAGGTTTTCACTTTGCACCAGGTTATCACAGCAAGTGGTAAAAAGAACAAAAATCTAAATATACCATATACTTCATGTATCTTTATCTATTTCACTGCTGTTTGACCCATTTGTCTAGAAAACAAAATGCTTGTGGTAACATTAAGTAGCCAAATCCTACATTAAATCTAGTTAATCGCAATTAGTGTTGTCTAAATCAGTAAATGTGTGTTTATTAAATGTTAAATCATGTATCATGTTGACAGCAGACACTGAAATCATATCACTGAGTCCGACTGTTATTGCACTGATGCTGTCAAACATGGTTCTTGGAACTGTGATGCTCCTCCTTGTAGTGACATTTTGCAAGACAAGAATGAAAAAATCTGCAGGTGTGTAAAACTTTATGCAGGACGAGATCCACATTCTGCAGTAACTACTAACTATAGGTATCTTTTAATGTTTGTGTTTTTTTCACAGAAGCGGCCGATGAAGGCGATCAGGTGAGAGTTTGTCTTAGTCCATCCACCCATGATGGCCTATCCCAGTCATCAAACAGCAATAGATTATTTCACATATTTTAATTTGTTTGTCAGGACATGACTATATTTATTATAAATTTATTTATTGGAATTTCCTTTTTTCACAGACTGGTGATGCAGTCATCTATACATCTGTGAGTTTGGCTCACAGTAGTATCAGGCCCAGACAACCTACAGTAAAAGCCAATGGCGACGCTGTAATTTACTCTACACTCAAACCCTGACAAAAGAACATCAAAGTTTCATCAGGGGAATATGACCAAGCTATGACAAATAATGGCTTACGAATGTCTTGCAACGCTCATAGGTAGTATATCTCTGTTCAGTGGTGCATACAAGCATTCAAACTATAATCAAAGAAGTTTAGTACATTTCCTCAACTTCACCTCTTTGTAGGCTGAATTCATATTTTTGTATCCTTCGGATTTTAAAACCAGCTTTTCATGGACTGTCACATTTAACTACCAGCTTCTCACTAATGTATGATTCTTCAATTATTTACTCTGCCTTGCACTGTGAAAACCAAATGTACTGTTTTGATATACTTTTATGTTTGGGCTGAAATTCTTTCCATTTCACAAATCCACAGAAGTATGTTCCAACATCTTCCCATGATGTTTTATTTATGGTCAGATGATTGTTAGTCATGTCAAATTTAACTGAAGAACGGTTAACAAATTCATCACTGAACTCTCTCACATTATACTGAGAATTAGTTTTTACCACCAGCTGTAGTTTCCTCCCTGTAGTCACCTCCCTGTAGTCACCTTGTACCACACGGTTTTCTTTGATGCGCTTCCCTTTTAATCAACAATAAATCAAAAACTTTAGATGTTAGAAAGAGATAACACAAACTTAAAAAAAATGCCTTTTCCAAATGAAGGTGTTTATTTATAAGAACAGAAAACCTACATGGTCCTGTGTGAAAACGTCTTTGCCCCTAATAACCTAATGAACCTAATAACTGGTTGGGCCACCCTTAACAACAACAACAACTGCAGTCGAGCGTTCGCTGGCAATGAGTCTTTTACAGTGCTGTGTAAGGGAAGGGGGCGGGTAGTTTTTCAAACCACACTCCACTCACGTTCTGAGCTAAACACACAAACATCAGAACATTTGAAATAATTTTAATTTGGTTTTGAGGGGTTCAAAGAGAACCTCATAAGGTCCTGTGTTTCTACACTTAGACCAAAAGCCCTTTACACTTTTCTGCTTTACACAAGAATAGACAGTATAAATTGGGATGCCTGGAGGTGTTCTGGGTCAGTCTCCAGCAGCCTGTAAGGTTAGCAATTCAGTGGCTTGGATCATTTCCAGGTGGATTGCAGCTTCTCTAGACTTCCAAGACCTTTCCTGTGGATTAAAACTTTGAGAAGTTGTGGGATCTATCAAGAAGTCCTTCTTTTCCCATTATATCAATGAACACAGAGCATTAAAGTGGAACATATCTTCAGTACTGGAAATCCCTATCACCACCAACCTCTCTCTCCCTCAAAGATATGAACACAATCATCATTAGCGCGGAGTGGGTTAATTAAATAAGAAGTTTTTAATGTTTTATGTTCTTCACACTTAAATGTTTCAGATCATCAAACAATTTTTCAATATTAGACAATAATAACACAAAAAAGTAAACAAATGCAGTTTCCAAATCCCCCCAACCCCAAGAAATCTTCAAAGGTCAGACATCATGCCGCAGTCCAAGGAAATTCAAGTAACAGAGCTCTCTCAGTCTGTAAAAAGGTTTTGAAGCCATTTCTAAAGCTGTCAAACTCCAGTGAACCACAGTGGGAGCCATTGTCCAAAAATGGTGAAAACATGGAACAGGTACAATCGCAGGAGTGCCTGCCCAACCAAATTTGACTGACTAGACAAAAGTTGGACTCTTTGGAAGAGTGGGCCAAAATTCCTCCCCAGTACTGTAAAAGACTCATAGCCAGTGTCATGAGTAGCTGTGTGGCAGGCAGAATATCGGACCGGAGTGCAGGACTCGAACACAAACAGGTGAACTCAACAGCTTTATTCTAGCTTTATTTGCTGGGAAAAAACTGTAACATCAAAAATGAAACTAAACTTGACACATGAACAAAAACAAGAAACTCAGAGTAGAAATAAAATCAGGAACTGAAAACTAAGAATTGGCCAGGAACACAAAGGGAAAAACACAGCACTGTGAGGGTACGGCACGACAAAGGGCAGAGGAAAATACACAAGGAAGTAAAAAGAGAATGGGAAACACAGCTGGGACCAATCTGACTTAATGAGACGAGGGGGAAGCAAAACACAGCACTAAACACAGGACACAAGATGTCTGTGAAGGTTCTCACTCATCCAGGTCATCGTAGTCTAAGGAGCTTGGAAAAGAAAAGCGTCTGGACTTCTTTAAGTTACTTGAAGACGTTTCACCTCTCATCCGAGAAGCTTCTTCAGTTCTAAGGGTCAAATGGC